TCTTAGTAATTTAATTCTATTCTCAGTACTATTTCTAATAATATTTATTACTACTACTTTTATAATAATATCACTTTCATGTTTACATCTTTCCTTTTTTGAGTATTCAAATACTTTTTTCTAATATAATACCTTTGTAGCTTTTAGAATCTGATTTCATTATTCTTATAAGTATTTCTTTAGATTTAATCTTATTAGAAGTTATATCTTTTGTATCTTCTATTACCTTTATATCTTCTATAGCTTTAGTTATTTTTGTTATTTACTACTAGTTTTTTGGTCTCTAAATTTAGATTCATTTTATTATTAAGTATATTAGATATATTAATTTGATTTAGTAGCTTTGCTTCTACATTCATTAATATTTCTTTTATCTCGATTTCCTTTATATTAAGTACTTCTTTATTTTTTTTTCTATTTTGCTCTAATATATTAATAACTTTGTTGAAACTTTCTATTATTGCTGCTCTTTTAATTATTGCTTACTACTATTTTGCTATTTTAACTATTTCTGAATCTAATTCTATTAACTTAGCTACTATTTTGTCTAGGTATTCTTCTAATCCTAGTACTGATTTACTACTATCTATTGCTATTTCATCTCTATACCTTTGTAAGATATCTTGCATTAGCTTTTTAATTTTTTCTTTATTTCATATTTTTATAAAATACTTTTTTATCTTATAAATAGACTATTTTACTTTTTATCTAGTAAAAAATTTATAAGTTTTATATGCTTTTGTTAAATACTTCTAGAAGTTGTCTAGTTTTGAAGTAACATTTATTCTCTGCTATATTGCTATTATATGTTAATTTATTTGCTATATAATATTTGTTTTGATTTCTTGTTTGTGTTTATATATATTAGCAAATTAATAATCTGTTTTATATAGTCTATACTATCTAGTTTGATGTAATGTTCAATAAATTTTTTTAGAATTTTGTTGTTTCCTCTAAAAAATTATTTTAACAATAAATTTCTTTACGATTTTTGATTTTCTGATCTTTTTTCCTAATTGTTATCTCTTTATTTTTTATTTTCTTTAGTAGTTATATTTAGTTTTTTTGTACAACTTTATTTAGAAGAGCTTCTTAGATTTTCTTATAATAAATTGAACTTTTCTATATGTTGTTCTTCTGTTCTAAAATTGGTTCAAGAAATCTATAGAAAGAGTTGAATATGAGTTATCTATTTAAATATTTTGATCATTAATCTATCTCTTATATTAAATTAATTTTATTACTATATTTAACTATTTAAACTAACTAACTTATTTATAGATCTTTCTCTATATAACTAGATCTTTTTAAGATAAATATATTGTAAATATACAAAGTTTTAATTAATCTTAAAAGTATGTTGTGATATTTAAGAATTATATGTAAATATTTCGAGCCTCTATAGTATAATCATGACTAAAAAAAACATTTGATCTTTTAACTATATTGTTAAAATAAATTTAAAACTACACTATTCTAATATCACTTGCAAGTTACAGAATTGAATTTGCTTTTCTAGAATGGAAGTTAGAACGTTTTAAAGATACGTGATTTTTATAATAAATGAATCATATGATGTGCAACACCCCAACTAGCGATGCATCGTACTGGCGATAAATGATAACTCTCTAATATAAAATACTAAATATTAAACATATGGGGGTGAGTCAATAGAAATCAAGCAAATTGTTTTTATTGAAATTTTTTTGAAACTTTAAACAACAATAACTCAACAAAAGCTTTATCAAATTTAATAAATTTTTTTTTAAATTAATTTTACAATTTGTAATATTTATTTTAAAAAAATTTTTATTAATTTTGATAGAGTTTTTGTTAAGTTATTGTTGGTTAAAGTTTCAAAAAAATTTACTTAGAAAAAATTTGCTTGATTTCTATTGACTCAACCCCATATATTAAACATATTTTTTATTATCGTTATTCTCTTATCAAATACTTAACAGAAATAAAAATTTATATTATAAATATACTGTATATAGTAACGATTAAAATTTTTGAGTTATATAAATACGATTAATCTTAAATTCTTTAAATGCACACCCTCTTTAAAGTGCATATTCTAGAGGGGTATACTTTGAGAGGTTTAAGTAAAAAAAAGTTTATTTGCCTAACGCTAATAAAAACCAGTAATCTAAACAAAAACGTGAGATTTTAACAAAATTTATTGGTAGTTTCTTTTTGAGAGTTGTATTACTTGCGCAAGATAGTGTTTTTAATACTGTCGTTTATTATCGAAAAAAGTGCCCCTAGCGCTAGTCCAAAAGTGTATAAAATTTTTTTTTTTGCAATAAGTTAGCCATTTCTAATTTGGAATGATTAGAAAGCACGGGGTTACATAATGAACATCACTGATTAAAAGTAACGTTGCAAAATTTTGGATTTTCGTGGGCTAAGGGAGAGATTATCGTTATTGTAAAAAAATACAGTAATTGGTAAAAAATACAGTAATTAACTTTTGACAAAATTTCAGTTCCAAAGTATCTGGTTATTTTTTTTTTTTTTAAACACAAATATTATAATGATAAGAGTTTTACTATTTGCCGCAACCGATTTGAGAGTACATTGAGTCAAGGGGGTGGGAATATAATATTGTTAAAAAAGCTCATTAATTTGAGTATTGCTATTAAAAATTACTTAAAAAGAATGCACCATTAACAACCCACTTCTATAAAAAGTTATACAGTGCCCAAGTGTATATAATACTACGATTTTGTTCAACCACTTCGGACATATGACATTTCCATTTCCAATTTTTGCATTATATAAAATCCTGTTCGAATTATCTTAATCTAAACAATTATCGTTATATACGTTTAATCCGTGTAACGAGGATTAACTTATTGATAAAAATCGGAATTTTTTCTATCGCACGTAACTTTTAACGTTAAATCTTTGACAGCATTATCGATATCTGAACAATGTATGTATGTAAGCCTGATTGCCTCAAAAAGAATTTTCATACGCGTCGAAATTGTATAAATTGAATTAGATATCATAGATTACTAATTGTTATAAAAGGAACAAATTAAATGAGGATCTTATTCTATAAAACATAGAATATCTTAAATCACAAGGTTTATTTTATTATTATTATTATAATTGTAGAGCGAATTTTCTTGCCGTGCTATTTGTACTTTCTTGTGATGTCTACATTTCCAGAGGATACGCCATTAATAACAGCAGAGGCTGAAGACGTGCCAGAATTTGACTTTTCAAAATATAGTAGGTTCGCTATCTTTAGAAGGTCAAAGACAGCGGTAATATGTGTCGCTTCTATTGCACTCTTTACGTAAGTCTATTTTCAAATAATTACGGTACTAGATATATCGTTTTTCATTGGCTTTATATCTTTACTAATTTAAATAAAAAACACATCTTAACAGCGATATGTTAGTATATGGGATAATAGTTCCAATACTTCCTTTAATTGTTAAAGAGAGGCTTGGCATGGACTCAACGTCCACTGGATTGCTTTTTGGATGTTACGGTACGGAAGCTTATTTTTATGATGGTTTTTTTTTTTCTTTTCTTTTCTTTTCTTTTTTTTTTTTTTTTTTTTTTAACGTATATTTAATATTCCAGCACTCGGACTTTTACTTTCGACTCCTATCTGCGCCGTTTTTAGCGACCGATGTCATACACGCAAGGTTATTATTATATTAATTTCTTGATATTTTAAATGCCTCGATTTAATTTTTTTTTTTGTACAGATACCTATGATAATTGGAATGGCTGGTCTAGGAATCTGCACGCTTTTCTTCAGCATTTCTAACACCTTTTGGCAATTGATGCTGGCAAGAGTCGCGCAAGGTGCAGCAGGAGGAGCATCCTGGTTTGTAAAATATTAAAAATTTAGTTTATTTTCGCAACTTATTTACATTATCTCTAATATAGGACTGTCACCTTGGCCATGCTGGCTGATCGATTTGGAACTGGACCCAAGCTTGGAGTCGTTATGGGAACTGTTCTATCTGCAAATACAGTAGGCTTTATTGCTGGTCCAGTAATTGGTGGGATTCTCTACCAATACTGGGGATACTCTTCTCCTTTTATTTTCTGCTCTATACTTTCGTTAGTTGGATTTTTGGCAGCGTGCACCATTGTCGATCCGATTAATTTACGAGAATGGGACCTAGCAATAAGTAGAAGAAATAGAAATTTTGAAGACCCACCAGATTATTGCGAAGTAGAACCCAGCTATAGTAGTAGCAATCCCCTTTCAATCTGGAATTTAATAAAAGATTGGGAGGTTATCTCGATTTGTTTGACGCTTTCAATTGTGGCTAGTGCATTTTCTGGTAAGTCATAACTCAAACATTTGTGAAATAAAATTTTATTAATCGGAATGAATGCTTAAGTTACTAATAATATTTCTATCTTTGTAACCTAGCCATCGAACCAACTTTTCCAATCTATCTTCGTGAAGAATTTAATGCTGACCCATCCGAAATCGGCCTCGTTTACATAACAGTGGTGATTCCAACTTTTGCGTCACCACTCATTGGTTATTTATCATATTATGTTGGACAACGAAGGCTATGTGGTATTGGAATTTTATGGATCAGTGTCGCTTTACCACTGATTGCTTTGCCGAACAATTTATGGTTAGAAGTTATTCCATTATTCTTTTTCGGAGCGACTTATTCAATTATTTCCACACCGTCGCTTCCACTGTTAGCAGAAAGGGTTAAAGAAATGGGCGGTGGTGCATACGGTCAAGTTTACGGACTTTGGAATATGGCATATAGTCTTGGAATGTTTATAGGACCTGCTATTGCTGGCGTTTTAATGGAATATTACAGGTTTTTTGGTACGTTGTGCACATTTTCGGCAATTACTTTGATGATATCACCATTTGTATTTTTAGGAAATCCATTCAGATATAATCCTCTTAAATGTTTTAAATGCTTTAATGAGGGATATTCCAGACTTCCACAGTACGATCCCGAAAATGAGTAGATGTATAAAAAAAATTGGGAACCGAACTTTATTGAAACATTATATAAGACATTATTACGTGTATGATACATATATGTAAACTTTTATTTTTTAACTATTAAATTATAATTTTGAAAACATTTTTACTTAATCCATAAACAAATAATGAGCTTATTGATTTAAGACGCAGTGAATGCTTGAATGCCAGTGATAGCCCTGCCCAGTATAAGAGCATGGATATCATGTGTACCTAAAATGAGTATGTGCTAATTAGTGCTGAGAGTATGTTTATAAAATATAATGTCCCAATAAATACCTTCATAAGTATTAGTTGTACATAAATTTTGTTCATGTCTAATTATATGATATTCATCGCTTATTCCATTACCTCCTAAAACTTCTCGCATGGAACGCGCAATTTCCAGGGCTTTTCCACAGGAATTACGCTTCACAAGCGAAATCATTTCAGGTGCGCATTTTCCTAAATCTTTTAGTCTTCCTACTTGAAGGCAAGCCATAAGGCCGATAGCAATCTAGAACCAAATATCAAGTTTAAGTATGACTAATTAAAAAAAAAAAGCATGAATTGCGTGTCACCGACCTCCGTATTTGCGTCAGCAAATTTCTTCTGAATCAATTGAAACCTGGCCAACGGAACACCAAACTGATTTCGATTAAGGGCATACTCACGAGCTTGAGCCAAGCAAAATTCTGAAGCTCCAAGCACACCCCATGCGATTCCAAATCGTGCATTATTAAGACAACTAAAGGGTCCCTAGTTAATAAAAGTGAGCTAAATTAATAAAAATAATTATTATTATGATAATAATAAAATGATTATATTACCCTTAAACCTTCTACGTGTGGGAGTAAATTCTCTTCGGGAACTTCTACGTTATCCATCATGATCATTCCAGTAGTGGAAGCTCGAAGTGACAACTTACCTTTAATTGTTGGTGTCTCTAACCCTTTCATACCCTTTATTTATATCGTAAATTTGTCATCAACTTAAATAAATTTCTTTTACGTAATATTCGGTTATTTGCATATGTACCTTTTCTAAAATAAACCCTCGTATTTTATGATCTTCTTTAGACATTGCCCAAACAATAAATATATCCGCTATTGGAGAATTAGTAATCCAAGTTTTCGATCCATGTAATATATGAACTCTATTTTTCTTAAGTGAATAAGTTTGCATGCCACCAACATCAGAGCCGTGGTTAGGTTCTGTTAACCCAAAAGCACCAACAATTTCACCTTTTGCTGTTCAAAGATAAATAATGATTATGTAACTAAAATAGTATTGAGGTTTAATTGTAACGTTAACACTTCATGTAAGATACCTAATCTTGGCAAATACTTTTGTTTCTGTTCTTCACTACCAAAAGCGTATATAGGGTACATGACAAGTGATGATTGTACACTCATTGCAGATCGATAACCACTATCTATTCTGGAAAAAGCATTTGCAATGACAACATGTCTCATTAAATGTATCAACTTTAAAAAAAACTAATAATAGTCAAATTTAAGACCTTTCCACTTCACGGGCAACAAGTCCATATGCTATAGAAGAAACGCCTGAACAACCGTATCCTTGAATAGTAGAGCCAAGTAAACCTAATTCGCCCATTTCTGTAATAATCTCACGGTCAAATCCTGAAAGTATTAATGATTACAATTAATAACCAATTTACGATTAACTCTTCAAAACTTTAACATACTTTCTTGACGATAAGCCTCCAAAATTCTTGGAAATAACTTTTCTTGACAGTATTGACGGGCGGAATTTCTAAATCATTCCGATAAATTTAATCAGAATATTTCAGAGAGATTTTGCAAAGAAATATACATATACCTTATAGCAATTTCTTCTTCAGTCAGTTGTGATTCAAGAGTGAGTGGGTCTTCCCAATTGTACTTTACTGACCCCAAAGAATACGCTACGTAAATAATTTGAACCGGTTTTTTAAGCGAATCAAGTTTTTACCTAAAGCTTGGGTTGACATGCTTCTTGAGAGCGACGTTCTCCATGTAGGACTCTTGAAATTTTTCAAATTGGACTTTACGAACAAAAGTCGAAACATTGTTTGAAATATTATAGACTAAATGAAGAATATTTATGTATGCATAAAAATGCATCTCCCGATAAAAATCTGTACGATAAAGTTCGTGAAACTCGATCTGCATTTGGTTAGAGTCCGATATTTAGACATATTCACGTGGATTAAATATTAAATTCATTAGTGGTTACCGTAGTTTTTTTTTTTCTTTTTTATTAATCATAACAATGACAAACAAAAGAGACAATATTGCGTCAAGCTCTTCAGCTCCTGTTGATTCCCCACCACCTTACACCCCTCTTCCTTCACAATCTCGTGGAGTTGAGCCAAATGAGGCTACGCGTCTTTACCCAGATGTTCCGAAAAATTCATATTCCGCTATTCCAACTCCAACCTATAATCCACCTCAACAGCCTTCGATCACGACTTATAATCAACCCGATACCGTTATTTTAACTCCAGCAGTTTCTATTTTTGATTTACGTGCTAATCCAGCCGTTACTTGTTGTCCGCATTGCAAGCAATTCGTTTTAAGCAAGACGACTTTTCGTTCTGGAACTGCCACCTGTTTATCTTCTCTTGGACTGTTTGTAATTGGAATAACGATGTGGGGATGTTGCTTGATTCCCTTTTGCGTAAGTATAGGTTTCGAAATTATAAATCGTTGTATATTTTGTTGATCCTCTAATTTTTAAAGATTTTTTTTACAGAATTGCTCTTTATACCTCATTTTTGTTATTTATGCCCCAACTCAAGGAAAGTGTCTTAAAGTGATATTATTATAAAAGTAGTAGTAATAAATATTATTAGAAATAGTACTGAGAATAGAATTAAATTACTAAGA